AATCAGTGAAGCTCCGCCCCCTAATCAGGGCTCAGCTTCTCTCCCAGCACACTGCCCCTACAAACAATACAAATACAAAACCAGATACAAATTTCTCCTCTTCTCTGTAATTATCCCATGGATCTCACATGGTATTTGCTTTCTCAATGTACACAGACAACTTGGACATGAGCACTGCAAATGTAAAGAGGTCACATTACAGTTCATAAATGTCTCATAATCTAAGAGGGGGAAATTGTCTCTAAAATGTATATTATATTCTTATTCAACAGGCAGTTACACATGTGCTAGGTCAGTGGTCTCCAAACTTTTTTGATCGTGTACCCCTATCGGTAAAAAATTTTTGAGAACGCACCCCCAATATATGTATATTTATTTATTTATAAATTACATGTACTACTTTACTAATATATTATGTACATTATAAAACATGCAAAAAATAGAAATTAAAAAAGGATGAGATAAAGATGAAATAAACAATATTTTTAAAATAATTTTGTATTTTATTTTATTTATTAAGTGTACAGAAAACCTTTTTGCTCCCACTCTACACACCTGCCCTGCCTCTCTCCTCTAGTGCTGGTCCCTCTTCTGCAAGTGTCTGCCCTTCTGCTTCACCCCCAGAATCCTCTGGCACCTGCACCTTCCCTTACCCCTGCACCCTCCTGGTGCCTCCCCCTTCCCTCACTGCCCCTACCCCCTTTGCCCTCTTTTTCCCTGATGCCCATCCCCTCATCACCCTCTGCCCCCCGTTCCCCTCATGCCTCTGTGCCCTCACACATTACTTGCTCCAACCCCACCTTCCTCATGCCCACCCCTTCTTTCAAGCCTTCTCCCAGCACCTCCCCCTCCCCCCTCTAGCCCCAGTGCCCTTACCCTCTCCTCTCCCAGCATCACCCTGTCCCCCCTCCCCTCAGCACAAGCCCCTTCCTCTCCCACCCCTTCCCCGTATTTTTCCTCCTTTCCCTCCCCTACCTTCTGTCTTCCAGTTTGTGGGACTGGAATCTGCTATCGGGCCCCAGAAGTCCCCCCAGCCCTGGCTCCAGCTGCTTCCGGGCAGGGCCAGCCGGAGCCATTCTTGTGCCCTGGGCAGACCGTAGCTTGGGCCGGCCCTGCCTCCCGAAGGCGACAGAGTGACGAGTCATCACCACACCCCCTGCTGCATAATCCCTGCCCCCACTCCCCTCGGAGCGATCCCAGGGTGGATCTTCGTGGCGAATTCAGAAGCGTGGCATCCAGGGCAGGGGACTTTTTGAACGTGCTTGTCTGAGCAACACAGGGCAGGGCAGGGGAGGGGGGAAGCGAGCGAGCGACCCCACGGAGATGACCAGACAGGCGCAGTGCCATTCCCAGGCCCTGGCGAGAGCCACTCCGAGGACTGGCATCGGCTCAGCAGCAAATAGAAGAGGCGGGCGCA